AGTCAACTAAGAAATGTATTCTGTTAGAAGTAATAGAAAATCCAACTTGCAGTGGTTTAAACAAATTTTTTTAATATTTCTCTTGCAACACAAAGCCCAATGACAGGTACAGAGTGGGCTTGGTAGATGACTGCCATTGGATAAGGTAGAAGATGCCTATATAAAACTATGTGGCAATATTGAAATAAAATATGAGTTTAGAACAGGAAACTAAATGTGAGAGAATGAGAATTAACGAGACCATAAAGTTTGGTCTACAGCGATGACTTGGGCTATGTTTAAGGTTGTGTTTATTTCCATTTACTACTGAACAGCCAAAAAAGCAATGCAAAAGACCAACCTGAAATCAAAAAACAAGCGAATCAATATAGCTCCCCATGACAGCCCAGTTTTTCACAGATGTGTACCCAAAGTTATCTGTAATTTAATAGAGTGGGAAATTGATCACATTAGAAGAGGCTAGAATTGTGAGTTTCTGACTCCTATACTGTTAATCTAAGAAGAAGCAACTCAGAAATCAAGGATCTATTCTGTTACCTGAAGAAAAAAAAGAATCCTACCTCTCCTCAAAATCTTTCTAGACCTAATTCTGTGACAACTTCATGGCTTATACAGGATTTTAGAGCTGAATTGACAAAAGACAAGACTAGATTTGAAGAAATAGATAGAAAACAAGAAAGCAGATAGACACCAGGTTCTTGGAACTATATTCCCGAGTTGAGGAGACTAAAAAGCCAAGTCAGAGTGGACTGCTAGATTTTCCCATGCCCTATTATAGGATAATCTTTGATGGTGATAAAGAAAAACTTCAGCTGAATTAAATCTAAAAGTGTTTAATTGAATAATGAATGATTTGTGAATTGAGCAGCCCCCCGAACCACAGCAGATTCACAGAAACTCCAGGGGTGTCTGGTGGTCAGAATAAATTTATAAACAAAAAAGGTAAAGTGATATACAGGAATCAGAAGTGAGGTACAGAAACAGTGAGATTGGTTACAGCTTGACGTTTGCCTTATTTGAACACAGTTTGAACACTCAGTATCTATGAGTAGATGAGGTACAGCCACTGGGATTGGCCAATACTTAGCTATTGCTACAGGTGTATACTATTAAGTTAGGTTTTCAGTTTTGTCTGACTGTTAAGCTACGTTACAGTTCATTCACAAGGACTCAAATATAGAAGTACAGAGTCCTTCTCAACCCATATTTAGTTTGCTTTAACAATTCCCCCTTTTGATCATTTTCTCAGTTTTGAGAGATTGACCAAAACCTTAGTCATTGATGTTACTATCACTATCATAAATGTACTTATATGGTTTTGAAACCCACCGAGAAACAGTAGAACGATGGGTTTTGCAAGGAGGGAATAAGGACCTAATAAAGAGTATGTCCTTATGCTGGAACATCCTGTTTACAGGAGAAAAACACAACCCAGGATGTTCTAGGATTCATGTGTTTTCTTAAAGCCTTGGTTTTATTATGTCACATTTTAGCATGAGTAACTCCATTTCCATTTGGTTTGGTTTGTTGTGACCTAGTGCATGAACTCAGTCCAAAATAATGGCCTCCCATGATTTTGTTTGAAAAAAATTTCCCTGTTTTGGCCAGGTTCTCACTTCAGTGAAAGTGTAACCAATACTTAGGACCTTAGCGCCATTCTCAGTTACCACCATTTTGGGTTTCTGGTCTCAGCACGTCATTCACAGGTTATAGCATCCTCATGGTAGCACATTTCTTTTAGCTTTTGTCATTCCAGTTGAAGAGAGACCCTTTGATGTTCTAGAGATGGCTGCATGCAAACATTTAAAACCTTTGAGAGAATACTGTGCACCAGGGAGACTATTATTATGACTATTGGGAGGATAATAGTTTGGAGTATACTCCTTACCCAAGCTCCCCATCCACCAAACTGTGTAAAATTAAATACATTAAAGCATGAGCTGGATGAAGAGTCTACTTGCTTAAGTGGTCTTTTCACTAATCCACTACAACTGATTTTAATTATCTACATTTGATGTATTTCTCCATAGGCCACAAGTGTCAGCAGCCACACAGACACTTTTCTGCTTAGCCAATTCTATTATTTAGCATAACTTCCACAAGAGAATTTAAAGTTTGTGTGTAGCAATAGCCTTCAAAGTTGAAATGGCTTTAGAGCCTATTACGAGGGTGACAATTATAATTATTGCCTCTTTTATTCTAAACCATGGGAAAAGGACCTAACAAATGATGTCCTTTTAGAAGAGTAAAGGCCTTCTGGCTATGTTCTCTTCAATCCATGATGCGGGTAAAGAGGAGTTTTGACTGATCATGAGGCAACATATATACCACCAAAGTTTTTCACCTACATTGCACCTTCCTCTTTTATCTATTAAAGTGTAAGTTTATTCATGTATAAGGCTGGCTGCAAAATCCTTTACAAATAAAAGTATACCCTATAAGGGCAAATAATAGGCCCCTTTTCATTTCTACTTTCCATAGAAGCATAAACAAGGAAAAAAATATTCAAAGATAAGAGTCTTGTGATAGTAGAAGCCTTGATCTGTGATCTTGGGAAACGCTGTTCGCATCAAGGATGCCATCTTCTTCTGCGAAGAAACTTCACGACTTATACAGACCATATATGACATATTTAGACTTCCTGACTTGTTCAAAACATTCCTCTTTTTAAAGGCCAGTCATTTTACTTTAGGACAAGAATTTAGCATACAACATCGTTTTTATATAAAATCTCTTTTCTATATAACCTTCTTTGCATAGCTAGGGGTCATCCCTAATTCCATATATCCTCAGGCCTTTTCGGAATTTCATGTCTCCAAAATAATTGAACTATTTTCAAGTCAAAATAGTTTATGATCTTAAAGCATTTAGCAAACCTAATATCTGACATGCATAATTTAGACAAAATGTCTTTATTAACAATCTTTAAAGCTGTGTTTATTTCCCAAAGATAAAATTACATGAACTAAAAGGCACTGCAGTTTTTATTTTGCTTTCAAAATATTTAAGTGCTTATTTTTGTATAAGCCAATTAATTAGAGCTCTTTTATATAAACATTACACACAACACATATATAAAGCCACAGACAGACAGACAGAAGGAGATTACTACAGTAGTTGTTAAGATTTTTCATTTGCCAGATTTTGTGTTTCTTAATTGGCTATTGGCTTTAGGGCAGAGCCCTTGGAAGAACCTGGCCAGGAAAGGGGCTTCTGATGCCTCCTGTTTTTCCCAAGGAGTCCAGGCTGTTAGAGCCTGAATATCTGCCTTTCATTAAGCTGACTTTTCACCATAGCACTCTTAAAGTCCTTTCAAAATTTTTTTTATTGCTGATTTTAGTCAGCCCAAACAGCTGATATTTCTGGCTTTTGAACTTTTTACCAAAGGTAACATCCCAGTGCTCAGAGAAAGGAAAATTTAAGACAGTACATGGAGGAGAAGAGACTAGACAAGGTCATGCAGATATTAAAGCAAAAAGGACTTGCTTCCTAAGCAGGGAATCGAACCTGAACTACCATTATGAAATGCCAAAACCTTAGCTACTAAGCTACAGCACAGAGCTGTCTGCACTTCCCTCCGCAGAAGGAATCTAGGGTAGTTAATTTGAGCTTGAAAACTCTTAATTACTCAAGATAATTTTTAGAGCTAACTATGACATAAACCCTAAAATTCCTCTTCCCTGGAATGTGGAGACCAAGCAAAAATACTGCCACATGGTTACAAGGTGAAGCTCCCAAGGACATAAAGCAAGATGGAGATAAAGCGATTTTTACCATTCATTCAACCATTTGCACACAGAGAGAGAGAAGCCTGAAATCTCACTGGTAAGAAATTCTTACCCTTTCGCTGGCATGCCAGGCTTCTGGATTCCCTTTCCCTGAGCAGCCCTAGTGACTCAGCTTCCCACACCATCATGCTGGGGGCCAAGCCACATCATAAAGGAAAATTATCTTTCTTTGTTCTGGCCAGAGTAAAATACATGTGACAAACCAAAGACATTAGCCACTCTGCTTAGCACCCAGTATCAAACTGGCAAGGCTCAAACTTGCCCCTGGTTGGGCCCCATCATCGTTAGTCCAACCTCTGACCAGGAGTTCCAGTATGTGATTTCTGGGAAGATGGTTGCCCTAGTAATAAAAAAAAAAAAAAGGTAAGGAAAGGAAAGGAGAGAGAGACAAGCATTGCCTGTAGCAGGGTTGGAAAGGCAAAATGACTAGGGAGGCCAGAGAAAGACCCACCCATTGCAGCAACACTGAAAATTTCAGGCGGCTGTTTCTCAGCAGAAAAGGGATCTTATCTAGCAGTCTCATCAGCTTTCAATTTTCCCCTTTTAGGGGGGAAAACTTCCCATGTCCCACAAGCCCGTACATGTCTAATCCTGTAACCCACAGCCATCAGCAAAGAGTCCAAGGCAGATTAATACAAAGAGAATAGCAGTTGACATCCTGTAGTGCCAAAGCCGTCTCAGCCAAAGGGCACTGTACCGAGGAGAGCCCTCATTGTTAAATGTACTTCAATGCATTGTTGTTCATTCAGAACGTTCCAGTGTAAGTTATCTTTGGTAAGATTTTGCCATTTCTGTAAGACATCGCTGCTTCCCAGGCCTAAAGTATAAACCAGAAGGAACTCAGATTTCCAGAAATTAAGGATCCCATTTTTATCTAGAATATTGGCTTTACTCTCAGGTTCTCTTGATTAACTTAGCCAATGATTCTTCCTACCCAAGTGCACAAGAAAAATTCAACAAAGTGGTAGAACACAAAAATCCCTGTGAATTTTCCAAAGCCAAATTTTCTAATGCCAGCAATACTACAGCTTACTACCAGTTCATTTCTGACCCAGTCAGATGTACGAGGCCTCTAATTGGATCCAAGCCAGTTAATTCCCAGATCAAATCCATTCCTGGACTCAGTCCAGTTTCTGTCAGGACTCTCGCAAAGAAGCTCGGAGAGCTCAAAACACAAATCCGTGGAGCTCCGAAATCTGAGAGGGAACTTACCCACAATCCCCAGTGGCTCTGAGAGATCCATGAACACAAGTGGGTCCTGGAGGTACCTAGCATGTTCACTCAGCATTCCTGAAGGTTGCTAGAAGCTCCACTTCCATCCTGCTTTTGACACCATCTGATAAAAGAAAAACTTCAGCTGAATTAAATTTAAAGGCATTTAATTGAGCAATGAATGATTTGTGAATCAGGCAGCCCCTAGAATCACAGGAGATTTACAGAGACTCCAGGGGTGCCTCATTGTTAGAACAAATTTATACACAAATAAAGGTAAAGTGACTTACAGGAATAGGAAGTGAGGTACAGAAACAGTGAGATTGATTACAGCTAGACATTTGCCCTATTTGAATGCAGTTTGAACATTCAGTATCTATGAGTGGTTGAAGCACAGCTGCTGGGATTGGCCAACCCTCAGCCATTGTTACAGGTGCATACTATTAAGTTAGGCTTTCAATTTTATCTGACTGTTAAGCTATGTTACAGTTCATTCACAAGGACTCAAATATAGAAGTACGGCGTCCTTCTCAGCCCATATTTAGTTTGCTTTAATAATAAGCATAAAGTCTTCAACATTGGGAAGAAAAACAATGGCATATGATAGAGATTTAAATTCAGGAATCATAGTCACACCATACTTTTTTTACATTAAAATTAAAAGAAGCAATATTTAAGAAAATAAGTCAAGGTCCTCATGGCATTCATGAGCCAAATGCACCAGTAAACTGATTTGTGAATAAAAGGAGCCTCTAAACAGCAACTACTGACAAAAAAATCCACAAATACCATAGGAGGTGGGTTATAGAGAGTTTTTAAATGGTTAGATGTGCATAGAATAGTGTTTAAAAGCAAAAGAATACATTGATAGCTTCAAGCAGCAACTGATAGTAAATAGAAAATAAGGCCAGGTGTGGTGGCACACGCCTAGAATCCCAGTACTTTGGGAGGTCTAGGCGAGCAGATCATGATGTCAGGGGTTCAAGACCAACGTAGCCAACATGGTGAACCCTCGTCTTTACTAAAAAATACAAAAATTAGCCAGGCATGGTGGCATGCACCTGTAATCCCAGCTAGTCAGGAGGTTCAGGCAGGAGAATCCCTGGAACCCAGGAGGCGGAGGTTGCAGTGAGCCAAGACTGTGCCACTGCACTCCAGTCTGAGTGATAGAGTGAGACTCTGTCTCAAAAAAGAAGAGAGAGAAAATTTTTAAAAATGATATTAAATATTGTCTGGAGGCATTTAGTGAAAATATTGATTCTCAAAATGTGGTTCCTGTGGATCAGCAGCATTAGCATCACCTAGCAACTTAGAATGCAAATTCTCAGATTCCATCCCAAAACTACTGAATCCAAGTCTCTGGGTAGAAGCCAGAAATCCGTGTTCTAACAAGCCCTCCTGGTGATTCTGCAGGATACTTAGTTTGAGAATCACTGGTGTGGAATCAGGAGACCTGACCACAAGGCAATGTGGTAAGGTGACCAAGAACTTTGTGGTCAGACAGCCCTGAGTTTGTATCTCACATCCAGTTCTAGCTGTGTGAAGTTGGACAAGTACTTTCACCTTCTAAGGCTCTTTATTAATGTACCTGCCTTAGAGGTTTTTTGCAGGGATAAACCAAGAACATCCATGAAACCATATTAGCTATTGTTTCATCATCAGCATCATCATAGAACTCCCTGAAGGCATGACTATACTATTTCCCTGAGTATGAGTAGTCAATGTTCAATATAGTCTATAAAAGATAACAAGAAGGTGGGTACCCTTTTATGGTAAGATTTGTATACAAATGGATAAATTAATAATAATAATAATAACTCTTCTATATGACTATTATATATTTGACATTGTTTTAAATGTTTTACATATATTAACTCATTTAATCCTCACCATAATCCTATAAGATAAGGTCTATTATTATCTCCACTTTACAGATGAGGAAATTGAGGCATGAGGGGCTAAGTGCCTGAAGTTACAAAGGTAGAAAATGATTAAATACAATTTGCCTCAAAGTTTGTGTGCTTAACCCCTGTGCTACATCATTTCTCAAAGTTAAAAACAAGTTTTGACATGTAAGGCATAGATTTCAATTGTCTAGAAAAATACACTTACACAGAATATCTCATTCTCCAAGAAAACTGAAAAAAATAAAATATTCTTATTTCTATTACCTGCCCTCTAAGCATCTTTTCCATATGCATTAAATGCATCCAGCTGATTCCAAAGAAAAGGTGATAGCCTGAAAAGCAGGACAACTATTCCCTCTAAAATAGAGAAAGAAATAGAGCCAGGAACAGCCAGTGAGAAATCCACAGGATGGGAAAATTCACTGAGTTGCCCAGCTTCTCATTTTCTCAGTGCAAAGACATTCTAGGATAACAGAACAAACTATTACCCTCTGGCAACAGCAGTATCTGTGCTGTGTCTGAGTCAGACGCTAAGACAGTTGAATGTATTTTGAGGAAATAAGAACAGAGCTCAAGTAGGGCAGACTACCCTGATTTGAGTGGCACTCTATGTGCCTGAGCAAACTGCCTGGATACCTATGGCTGGATGAGAGGAAGCAGTTTCCCTAACCTTGCTGGACAGATTTTACCACCATTTGTCAGGGCTTCTAAAACTTCTCAGTGTTTGAAACAAGAGAGTTTAGACTCCAAGACTGCAACAAAAGGAGGCAATTTTTTAGATGGAAGGCTGCAAGACAGATCAATTTTGCCCTTAACTCATTCAATCTCCGGTTTTTGAATACCTGCCAAGTTCTTTAGGCTTCTTCAAGGTGATCAATCCAAATAATTCACTTACTATTTCAACCCTCTCAATTGCTGGTATTTTTAAGACGTGCAGTGTTGTGAAAAGAAAAAAAGAAAACTCTCTCTTTACTTCCCAATGCTGGAAAACAATCTAAAATGAAATTGAGAGAATGTGAAATTAGCTTTTCCTCTTATTATTTAAGATGAAATATTCCTTGGAGCGGGTTTTTGGCAGAATGGAAAATTCAACCTGTGCTTACTCCTCTTGTTAGCTCTTACTGAAAATGCCATCTCATTTCTCACACACACTCCCTGAACATCTTAGCTAATATGTCTGGAAAAAGACATTCAAAAGGAAATATAATTTTTCCACTATCTAATCTGTAAAGAAAAACTAGAAGCAATAAGATTTCTTGTAGGTCAGAGTAAAATGTTTCTTTTCACAATCACTGTACATTTCTTTTTCTCGAGAAAATTTTCTCCAGTTTTTATATCGAACTTGTGTGCAAAGTATCACTAAAAGTTAATGTACCTTGAGCTTTTCCTGGATGTGTAACAATATGAAAGAATTAATATTAGTTGTTAAGTGTGATGATACTGGTTTTATTCTTTATCTGATCTCATGCAGGAACTAAGCTTCCCACATAATAGAAAAAGAGGAGTATATAAGATCTACAGAACAAATTGCTTCAATGTCTTTTGTAACAAAGGTAAAAGGTAAACTATACCTTTGTAGTTTGCAAACCTTTTGTGAATGTCATGAATTTAAAGGGAAGATCTTATTTCCATCCATAGAATTTATTTTGGTAACCCCCAAAACTCAGTGAAGTACATTTTCTTTTTGAGACAGAGTCTTGCTTTTTGTGTTCTAGGTTGAAAAGATGAGGGAGCAATGGGAGCTGTGGCTTCCTCCCTCTGCCATCAACACTCTGCCAGTATGGACAGTTGCCAGTGAGGACAGGGTTGCAGGCCTAGGCCAGCAAAGCTGTAAGGGTAGGTACCTGCAGCAGAGCTGAGAATAACCAAGTAGACAAGTGAGACTCCTTTGGGGAAAAGAATAACAAAAAAGTAAAAGAAACAATAAAATTTTAATTCCAAATATACAGGGTGAAATGACAATATAAGATTGATTAACAATGTAAAACTAATCTTCCTATCAGATAGCACTAATTACCAAAAGATAAGTAGTAACCTTACAGAGGACTTACCTGGCAGTCTCATCTTAACCCAAGTGATCAATGCTAACATCAACAGGAACAGAATATTCACATCATGTGCCTCTTGGTAGGATGCACTGGGAGCTACACAACATGACTTCCTGCCAAAGCCACAAGGAGACATCAGACAACCCCATACTGAGGGGTAGTCTACAAAACAAACGGCCTGTACTATTCAAAAAGATCCATATCATGAAATCCAAAGGAAAACCGTTCCAAGTTAAAGTGACTAAAAGAACATGACAACTAAATGCCACACGTGATACAGAGAATATTATTGAGACAAAAGATAGAATCTGAAGAAGGTCTGTAAATGAGATAGTAGCATTGATTTAATATTAAATTCCTTACTTTAATCAGTGTGTTGTGGTTATGTAACAGACTGTGCTTGTGTTTTACACTTTGATATATTTATATATATCAGGATTCATGTCAGCAACTTTCTCCCAAACAGTTCCAAAAAAACAATATAGAGAAAGAAAGGGAGAAGAATAAAGCAAATATTGTAGAGTAAAAATGTTCTTTGTTAGATTCTAGCAACTTTTCTGTAATCTGAAATTATGTCAACATTTTTAAAATGGAAATGCAGAACTTTAGGGTAAATATGATGTCAGCATAGTTCAAGGGAAAAGGGGGGAAAAGTTCACTCTCAGAGAGTCTCCTTGAGGGCATGTGCCAATCTCTAGACTTGCTTCCCTGTCCTTCTGTTCATTCATCTTTTCCCCTCCAAATGCTCCCACAGCTTCTCACTGACAACTCCTTTTCCACTCAAGGAAACCTTTACCATCTCGAGACCAGTGCAATATACTGAACTCAATGATCTAGTGCTCAAAGACTGGGTAATTCCATCTAAAATGAAATAAACAGAGGGAGGGAACTAGAGTGGATGAGGGTGGCATATTCAGAACCTGCCTGAGATGAAGTCCTTCCATTAGTGTGACATGCTTCCTCATTCTTCCTGCTCAATTAGAAAATAATTATTGGATCAAACTGGCGTGTCTCTCTCTTTTCTTGACACACATATACAAAAGAACAAGAAGTGAATTTTCAGAAACTATACCAAGTAAGTTCATACTGAAGAGAAGACTGTTCTGCATAAATTGAATGATCTTCACACATTCCCTTTTCCAGCAAGGAGACAGCACTTTTCTTTATTAATATCCATTCCCACCGCTACTGTCATATTCATCCTCTAGTTTCCAAACACAGTGAGAGGCTTTCTGGTGGGTAAGACAAATATATCTCTTCAAGTAACAGAGCTGTCTGTCCTTGCTTAGCAAATTCTGGCTACCAAAAGACCCAGGGAAGCTCTGAAATTACAAATTTTCTACACCTTAATTTAGATAAGTATTTTAGGTTGGGTGTTCCCACAGGAATGCAGCAGGAGAGAACATCATCCTCTATGCATAATAATTGCCAGGGATGTTGGGGGTGGGCAGATATGGAGTGAGGATTTGGGGCTACCAAGCTCTACCTTTCCTCTGGGGTCTTTGTTCAGTGTGACCTCCTCTTCCTGGAATCCATCCCCAGCCTTAGTGTCTACTGTCTATTCTCCCTTCCTAATACCTTTCCATTTTGCACTGTGTTTCCACCCAGTTGCTGTCACTCTCATTCAAGCTGTCTTGGCTCTAAGCTTAGCCCTTAACCTAAAATGTACCAGTTAGAGGAAGCACCAGGAGGAAAACAAAATCCAACTCAATGTCATTAAAAGAACTATACCTGCCAGCCCTAATAAGAAAAAAAATAGGCAAAGAATTTAGAGTGGAGTGACATAGTAACAGATTAGTTGAAATCAACCAAATGGACCAACTGTGGATTTCTGTAGTAGAAAAAGTATTAAGTAATAGATGACTTGAATCTAGAAGACTCAGGCTCATTGACAGCCAAAGATATCAGAACATTTTCAAAGATATCTGTAATGCTAGAGCTCAAAGATCTCAGATGACCTCTCTGGTTAATGTTCAACCTCAGCCAGCTAAAAGCATAACCTCCAATAGTGCTTAGCATGCTAATCCTGAAATTGTTTGGAAAGCATAATTGTTTCCTAGAGAATTAATAGCTGTAAACCTGTAGAAATATATATATACACACACACATACGATTAAGTAAATCAAACTTAATAGTACTCATATTTTCTAGTAAGGTTTAGAAATAATCACTATATTTAGGAGAATTTGACCTGTTAGTAAAATCATTTGTGCAATTCCAAATTAAATTGATGAGAATAATTGACAAAGATTCTATGTCAAAATTAATCGGTATTGGAGACTTTTAAAAAGCCTAAGACATACCTTTTATAATTTAAATTTATCCTATATGATAAGTACTGAGAAGGCTTTTTCGATGACTAAAGAACTTAAATATAAAAAGGAAATGTATCAACTTCGTCAGTATAGTTTAAAATGTTTAAAGGAGTTTAAGTTTATAAATAGAATCAAACATTAATCAAACACCTCTTTAAAAATGATTTTCAAAATTTGTGAGCTAAGTAGAATAAAATAATGATAGTTATTTTACTAGATGACTAAGTAGAATAAAATAATTAAGTTAAATTTCAAAGCTTAAAGAAGAGCTATGTTTGTGACATACAAATTTAATAAATAGAGTATTAAATTTTTAAAACGAAGTTTGCTTTGAATAATCCTTTTGGGACCCCAAAACTACTGTTAAGAACAGAAAACTCCCATTGACAAGATGGCCACAGTAGCATCCTAACTGGGCTCTTCTGTGTTTTCCCTCGTGGTGTAGTTTTTGCATAACTGAGAGATGATGTTCCCAAAATACCATTATGGAACTTGTCTCTTCAAAAATCACTATTTTTTTTTATTTTTCCCTTTTTTGGTATAAACAAAGGAAAAACTAAAAGAGATCTTTTTGTTTTTACTTTATCCATTGCTTTGTTAGTATCTTACACACCTCCAAGATTCCATTTGTTTTTATTCAGGAAGTCACCTTAATAAGTTACTACTTCACAAAATTAATTTCAGCCTCTATTCTCTATTGTACTCAGTTTAACACTATATTGGTTCACATTTAATAAGTTCTTTGCTAGGGGTCAGCAGTTTAAAACCCTGTTTCATGTAAACTCTTTCTAGAATGACACAAACTCTTTTTCTTACATTTAAAGACATAATTTGGACAAAATATAGTTTTATTATTATGTCCATGGAAAGCTCCAGAATTTTCATAATGCAAATTTAAGAATGATTTCTGAGATTTATTGAAAAGTATGGCAGAGAATGCTGGATACCTACCTGCTAATCCATTCTCTCCTTTCATTAAGTGTCAGATACCAAATTTTATCTAGGTACATTATTGGCGGAATAAATAACTAATTTCCCATCCTCCCTATCTGCTACATCATCATGTGATAAGCCAATAAGAGATGAACATAACTTTTATCTGAGACTTAAGGAGTAGATGCTGAAGGAATCTGACTCAGTGTGCTGGGATTCCTTTTTATCCTTATAAGTTTATTCTTGTTTCCATTTTCCAGTGTGGGTGTTATGGCTGGCACACCAACAGGATAGCTAGGACTATGAGGGACCTTGAGGATGGAAGCTATGTGTTAGCACTGCAGAGTAGAAATAGAAGGTTTTAGTTCTCTGAAGGCAGTATAGAGCATATCTCAGACTTTTTTTTTAATATGAGAGACAAACCTCTACCTTGTTTAAATCACTGCTATTTTGGGATTTTCCATTATGTGCAATTGAACCTTATTCTAAATGACACAGAGAGGCACATTGTTTAACATATTACTAATAATGAGCATTTTTATAGCAAGTTTCTTGAAACCAGTAAATAGAATCATCCATCACAATTACATCTAAAATTGATGTCTTTTGTCATACAAATGGTAGATTACACAAACTTGCATTAACAGACTTTACAAAGAAAGGCATGATTGAAGAAAATGCCTCTAGTAACTAAAATCATTTAATTTTATGTCACTCACAGAGTAGGAAAAAATGTTGGATGTACTAAATGAAAATAATAACAGCAGGCTGGGCACAGTGGCTCATGCCTGTAATCCCAGCACTTTGGGAGGCTGAGGAAAGCAAATCTCTTGAGCTCAGGAGTTCGAGACAAGCCTGGGCAACAAGTTGAAACCCCTTCTCTTAGGGGTTTCAAAATTAGCCAGGCACGGGGGTGGGCACCTGTAATCCCAGCTACTCAGGAGGCTGAGACATGAGAATCTCTTGAACCCGAGAGTCAGAGGTTGCAGTGAGCTGAGCTCGCACCACTGCACTCCAGCCTGAACAACAGAATGAGACTCTGTCTAAATAAATAAATAAACAAATAACAGCAGCTAAAATTTGATTGTACATTGCAATAAAATATCTCAGGTACTTCTCACAAAAATCCTATGAAATAGGCGTTATAACTATCCCCATTTGAAAAAGGAAGAATCTGAGGCACAGAGAAGTTGGTAACGTGTCCAAAATGAAGCATCTGGTAGATGGTAGAACCTGGTTCTAGCAGTTTGACTGCAGAGCCTGCATGTTACCCCACTAAGCTAATCTGAGGTCCAATAGGTTCAATAAGGTCTTCAAATGACATTCCCACAATTAAACCTCTCGAAAGTTCCAGAGCTGAGACCCAAACCCCCATTTTCTGATTTCTTTTCATTAAGTCAGGTACTCCCCTCCTCAAATGTTAGAATTTCTGACTTAGTAGGAAATTAACCCAACATCCAAAAAGTTCAAGTATATCAATATCTATACTTATATCTGCAACTAGAGAGGGAAGGTTATCTGTTTTTTCTGCAGACAGACTATTGCCCTTTATTCTCCATAGTCCCAGAAGTATTACTATAAATGCCTTATATTACATTCAAACTTAACTTTTTAAAATCACCATTTCCTCTGTTAATTGAACAGAACTTTATCATCTCCAACCTGGTTTCTCTACCTCTAATCCATGCTTCATATTCTGTTATCACCACAAAAATCTTTTCAAAGCACAAGGTTATCATGTGTCCCAGAGTCTACCTACAATGACTACCTTTTGTTTGGGGAATTCATTCCTATCACCTTTGCTGGTTTGCATGATTCTTTATAATCTGGCTCCCGTGTACCTATTCAAATTTCTTATTATTAGTATTTCCCAACCTACAGGTCTCCCTTTGCCTTCTGCACTGTCATTTTTAGATCAAGAACAAGCCAGAGGAAGCCAAAAGGCGCCAGGACTAGGTAGAGAATTAAACCAATGGGCACAGGAAACTGAGTGGATACACAGGCAACAGATTGCAGCTACTTCTATTAGAGAATATATGGCTGCTGAAGCTGAGGAGGCAAGTCGGAATCAGAATACCATGGATT